ATAATAATAATAATTCATTTAAATATATGCGTACCTATATTTAAATATAATCTCATTGATTTGATTTAATATTAAATCCAGGCAACAACCTCTGCAAATTTAATTACACTGTGAGATTACCAAAATACCCTTTCGTCCAAAAGACAAAAATGCCCCCTAGCACAAACTGATTCTCAAATTATCTTCTATGTGTGTGAGTAGTATCGCGATTAACACCAATTAATCGTCTCACTAAACATAACCTAAGATTGGCCCCTAGCAAGGCATCATGGCCACCTGACAGATTTAGATTCATGAAATAGCTACCTACCAATGATATGGTTACCGTGCAATCAAATCCTTTCATCATTTGTTATCTCATCGAGACTGAGGTACATAAATAGTGTCAACCTCAGTTATTCTCGATATGTTTGTATTCGGTTATTGGACCAATGACCGGATTGAGCAACAACTCAATCCCATTATGGCCACAGCTTTAGTGTCATTGTCATTTACTGAATTGCGGATTGAGATAACTTCTCCTATACGTGGGAGTGATGAATCCTTTGTTGATCCACCATAGTCTTGATACACTCCTCGATGCAGCCAATCACTACCGTATTGACAGCTCTTAATAGAATTGCATTGGGCTAGTGTCAAACTACACCAATCGGTGCACAAGGCACTCTGGCGACTCAAGTCTAATGATCACATGCACCACCATTCATTAGAGAATTTGTTCCATAGACACTGGGGTTACCATCTATATGAAATCCTCTGGTGGGTTAGTCCAGTGAACTTACCTACAGCAAGCACCCATGTGTAGCACTAGGTTGTCGGCAAACAACCTTGACAAGTGAGATCAGTAACTGTCTTTCGACAGGGTCGTTGTAACACTTGCTCTCAACTACTATTCTTATAGTTCATACTATGTAAAATATAGAGATGTATATCATATGAAAGATAGTAGGCTCAAATTTTTCTTTACTCATAAAATATAATTCTTGACAAATACAAAATACTATGTGTTAAAAACTTTCTAATTAATACAAAATATCATGACTGGTGGACAGTGGTGCCAATACTCTTCGCTCCTCGACGTCCATCCGACCGTTGCTCATATTTCCTGCAAAACAGAGAAGAACAACGGGGTGAGCACAACAATGCTCAGTAAGTAAATCTCTGCAACTCACTTTTTGGTTCTTTCTTATTCTATCGTTCTTCTATTTCTTTTTCTCACTGATCCCCTCTTTCTTTCTAATACTTTTATTCTCCTTTAACTCTGTTCTGCTCTTTTTATTCTTTCTTTCTCTCTGTTCTTATTCTCTTTTCTCTTTCTCTTATTCTCACTCACCATGAAGGACAATCATGGTTCTCTCTTATTCTCATCATACTCACCATGAAGGAAAATCATGGTTCTTTCTCTTATTCTCGTTATACTCTCACTAACCATGGAAGAACTCATGGTACATGCATGTATGAGAGGTACTTGCAATTAATGCAAAAGAATTGCATGTTTCTTTCTTTTACTCTCTATTCTTGCTAACTCAAACTATCTCATTCTTTCTCTTATTCTCTCTCTTTCTATCTCATTCTTTCTCAAGCTTTCTCATTCCTTCTCATTCTTTAATTCTCTCTATTATCTCATTTTCATTTCTCATAATTCATTTATACTAACTCGCTCTTTAAATGTCATGGCCCCGTCTTACCGTAGTCACGGCCGGGACTTCTCTCGCTCTACGTGACTTCTACTGATTCTAGCCAATCAGACTCGGTTATGCATGGATTCGGAACCCTTGGCCATGTGAGTGTATAATCTCTCTCTTGGGTACTTGGGTATAGCCCTCATCCGCATGTACTTTCACGGGCTAGACCACTTCTCTTTCTCATACTCATGCCGCACTCTCAATGCGGCGTACATGCGGGAATACTCTACCCATTACTCACGGGTTCCCCATCGCATAACCTACTCTATGCTCTTATCTCTCTCTTATTCTTTCTCATGTTTGCTCATCTCTTTCTCAAGCTACTACTCATACTCAAGCTAATACTCATAATATGGCTTAACTCTTAGCTTTTCTCATCTCTGTTATTTCTATTTCTTTTCTGTTCTTTCTCATTCTTACTCTTTGGAATGTCACGACCTCATCTGACCGGAGGCACGGCTGGGCGCTACCACTGTACGTGACTTCCGCTTATTTCTCTACCGATCGGATTTGGTCATGCATGGATTCGGAACCTTTGGCCATGTGAGTGTACATGCTTTCTCTCTATCTCTCTCAAATGTCACGACCCTTTCTTACCGGAGGCACGGCTGGAACCTCATGTTCCACTCTACGTGATGGTCACAGCCTCATCTTACCGGAGGCACGACTGGGGATCACAAAGCACCCACTCTCGTGACTCTACTCATCCCTCACAGGTTCCCCATCGCACAACTTGCTCTATTCTCTTCTGTAGCACTTTTCTCTCTTTTATTCGCTAGTACTCAATCTCTCTTTCTCTTTACTATCAGAGTGTTCTTATTCTCTTTACTCTTAAGAGTTGCTATTCTCAACATTCTCTACTCTTTCTCACTCGAACTATTACTCATAGTATAGCTTATACTCAAAATTCTCTACTCTAGTACTCATAATGTAGCTCTACTCACATTCTCTATTCGTTCTCAAGCTACGTCTTAATCCACAATTAATGCATATGGATGGTTCATACTCATTAATGCACTTTTGATGCCAAATGCAAATTTCATCAAAACAGTCATCCTGTACAGGTCACACTAAAAAGGTCATACTTTCGTTATATACCTCGGATTGCTACGGTTTTGGTCTCGTTTTAAAGCTTAGAGATAGGGCTAGAACTTTGATGTTTTGGTCTGAGCCCAGTTCAATCCGTAAAATGCCCAAAACACTTAGAAAGTCACGGCTGTGACAGGGCAGATTTCACTTAGGCATTTCATCAAGCAACTCATATGCATATAAACACTCTTCTCTAACTACCACTCTCCTTCTTTTTAACCATCCAAAATGGAAGAAACTCCCTTCTATGGACATGGTTCCTATCATAGCAGAACACTCCCAAAATATCTACTCAATCTCCTCCAACTTCATCTCAAACTCATCACACAATCAACACTTCCCATAAGGAAATATCCAACAAACATAACATAATACTCTTCTCAACTCATTCCTCAACAATAGACATACATCTCTACCAATTTCTCAATACATCATATATACAGGCATAAATAAATCTCTACTTAAGAATTTCTTAAACTTTAGCTTGAGTTGGATTTCTACCTCATACTTAGTAGTCTCCACTAAAGCTCTCTACTCTTGTTGGATCATACTTCTCTTATTTCCTAAGCATAAACTTAGTAGAACTTAACCCTTACATAAATAAAACTCATCTCTAGAGTAGGATTCTTACCTCTTCTTACTTAGGATCACTTCTTTGTCAAATTCCACCTCAAAACTCTCAAAAATCCCTTGGAAGATTGAGTGAGGAATTGAGAGAAAATGGAGATGAAGAGGCAGTGGAAATGGGTGAAAATGAATGGGTTTAGAGACTCAACGCCTGTATTAGCTCATATAATATACACTCTTTCCCATTTTGCCCTTACTCTTTCTTGAAAATTCCACCTTTATCCTTTAATTCTTTACAAACTCACCCCCATTTTACACTATTCTCCATGAAATTTCCTTACATTTTACTCCCCACTTTTCCTGCTAATTAGGGGTAGAATGGTCATTTTACCCCTATGGAGAATTCTCTAGAAAACTCAAGAAACTTTTCTGTCTTTTGTCGCCGCGGCGAAGAACTTTCCGTCGCCCCGGCGAAACATTCCAGAATCGACACCACCCAACACAGAACCAACATCGCAGCGGCGAAGCTTCTCCGTCGCCCCGGCGACAACTGCAACTCCGAAATCTGCCAAGTCTTGATCAATTCCATGGTACACATTCAACCAAACCCAAAACATAAACTCAACCAAAGGCCAACCAAACAACATGAACAATATATAAACTCATTTAGGGGCAATTCAGTAATCCTTTAGGCCATACCATAAACAATGGCTACGTATTTCAAGTGGGGTGTTACAGTCGTTCAACACTATGATAGCCTTACCGTATTATTTGTGTCCTTGGTCAGAATAATACTGGGGCTATAGAAATTTCTAGAATGGCCACCATATGTGCTCATAGGATTCTCACTATCAAGATTTGAAACACTTAATACCCTCATCGCGGTTCTACCATTCTAAGGACATATATCAATACATACAGATATGATTTACATGATATAAAATAAAATGCCTTTTATTGATCAATGAACATTATTAGAAAGAGTCAATTCTACAATAATTGATTGGCTCTAGGGCACCCACTCTAACAATAACAACATACTTCTGTGGGTAATGGGAATAGAGTGACCATAGTAAAGTTGATGATGAAACTACTTGGATCTTTCAATTTCGGTGGTAGATTCCTTTGAAGCAAAACACTTACCTTTTCAGGAACCATTACTTTTTCATTAGGTTCAAACTTACGCTTGTGAGTAATAAAATCGTTCAAGAACTTTGCGTAAGCTAGCATATTCCTTATCACATCAAGCAAGGGTAAGTTCACATTAACTTTAGATAAAATATCATAAATTTCAGAGAATGACTTATCCCATTTGCTGTTCTTCAATCGGCTCGGAAAAGGAATAGGTGGAACATAAGCCTTTGGTAGAGCAACGATGGGACTGATATCCTCATTCTGAAAGGATACACGTGATTGCTTCTCCTTCACTTTATCTTCCCCTACATGATCAATTAAAGGCTTATTAGATTCAGAATTAATTTCCTTGTGAATTACCTTACCACTTTGAAGCACCGTGACTGCTTTCGCTTGCTCAATTTGGCTTGATAATTTCCCAGAAACATGACCTTGTACTGCCTCTACTATCTGTCCTATCTGAACCTCTAGCTTTCTAATGGATGCCTCTTGCTGTTGAAACATTTGTTCAAAATTTTGTTGGTTCTACTGAGAAACTTGAATAAAATTATTCAGTGTCTCTTCCAATGAGGGCTTTCGCGATTGCTTATTAGAGCTCCCTTGTTGTTGATTGTTTCTCCAAGAAAAATTGGGATGATTCCTCCACCCCAGATTATAAGTATTCGAATAAGGATCATGAGGCCTTGGGTTGTAAGAATTCATCATATTGGCTTGCTCAACAAACTCTAGAAAATTTCCTCGAGAAAGACAAACATTAGTTGTAGGACCAACAATACCACAACTAGCACATACCTCATTGGAATTTCTTAGTCCTTGTCCCATCACATGTTGAACATAGTTTTCATTTGCTTGGTCAATTCTAAAACCTGCATAGCCAACTCAATGTTAGTATTTACTTCATACATCCCTTTTGATTTTCCTCTAACACTTTTCTACTGTGAGTTGGCTCCAATCACTACCGTATTGACAGCTTTGAATAGAATTGTATTGGGCTACTATCAAGCTACACCAATCGGTGCACAAGGCGCTCTAGTGATCTCAAGTCTAAGGATCACATGCACCACCATTCGTTAGAGAATTTGTTCCATAGACACTGGGGTTATCATCTATATGAAATCCTCTGGTGGGTTAGTCCAGTGAACTTGCCTACAGCAAGCACCTTTGTGTTACACTAGGTTGCTGACAAATAAGCTTCACAAGTGAGATCAGTCACTGTCTTTCGATAGGGTCGTTCAACACTATGATAGCCTTATCGTATTATTTGTGTCTTTGGTCAAAATAATACTGGGGCTACAGACATTTCTAGAATGGCCACCATATGTGCTCAAAGGGTTCTCACTATCAAGATTTGAAACACTTAATACCCTCGTCACGGTTCTAACATTCTAAGGACATATGTCAATACTTACAGATATGATTTACATGATATAGAATAAAATGTCTTTTATTGATCAATGAACATTATTACAAAGAGTCAATTCTACAATAATTGATTGGCTCTAGGGCACCTACTCTAACAATCTCCCACTTACACTAAGCCAATCATTCATGTATTTAATATCGAATGACCTCAAGGTTTGTTGATGCTTTTACTGCGACAGAGGTTTTGTTAGTGGATCTGTGAGATTGTCGTCAGTATGCACTTTACTGATCTGCTAATCATTCAGTATGCCTTGCAGTGTTTCCTCCAGTGGCCAGGCTTGCCACAAAAGAAGCAGACTACCTTACCCTTCCCTATGCCACTCTCAGGCCCAAGAGCAACCTGTCCTTTGGGCTTGGGCTTGGGTTTGGCCTTGGCCTTACCCTTGCCGTAACCCTTTGGTTTACTGGTAGCAACCAGCAAAACAGGCTTGGACTTTTTCAAGTCCTGCTCTGCAGTCCTAAGCATGTTTAGAAGTTTTGACAGGGTTTTCTCCATCGTGTTCATATTGAAATTCATATGAAATTGAGAATAAGAGTCAGGCAAGGATTGCAGAATTAAATCCATTTGTATTCTGCATCCAAGCCACATCCCAAGTCTCAAGCCTCTCTAGTTGCTCAATCATCTTGAGCACATGAGGACCAACTTGGGCTTCCTTAGTCAGACGACTCCCAAATAGTGCTTTCGACACCTTGTACCTCTCATGTCAGCATTTGTTCGTAAAGCTCCTTGAGATGTAGAATGATGGAAGAAGCATCCATATTCTCATGCTGCTTTTGCAGCATAGGTGTCATCGATGCTAACATCAAGCATTGAACACTATCAGCATCATCAGGAACTTTTGATAAGTATCCTTAACTTCCGGAGTGGCATCGGATCAGGCTCAGCCATGTATGGCTTTTCAAGGATATACAATTTCTTTTCTGACTTGAGTATAATCCGAGATTACGATACCAGTCTAAGAATTGGATCCATCCAACCTGTTTTCTTTCTCGATTATCGGTCGCAGTTCATATGCTCATTTTTGGTGAATCTACAATTGCAGAAAAGATAAAGTTATTATAAAGTTCATTATTATTTAATATGGTCTTTTATTAAACGATACTCCCACTATTTTACTCAAGCCAAAGCCTCACTATTAACTCGGGAAAGCCCGTTGGCTTTCCTAGTGGACCGAGATCCCATCCTGCCATTTCAAACCTTCGCTTTGGCGAACAAGCAAATGATGTTGATTAGGTAAACAAACTTATCCACACCAGTCGATAGCTCCCACTATTAACCTCAAATGCGAAAAAGCCAACAGCCAATCACACAAATTCAATGGCTCCAACCATTGTCCTCAAGTATATTCTCAAGTATCAGTAGATGGACACTACATGTCACCACATAACATAATGTGTAACTGCCCTACTATTGCATCTATGACGCGTTTATCACCTTCTCGCTTTGATGAACAAGCAACCCTCATTTTAAGTGCGCCCACCACCACCATTAAGGAAAACTCCAATGTATTTTAACCTCCCACTGGTAGAAGTGTACCCTTCGCTTGTGGCGAACAACGTTTCGACGAACAGTGGTTTGATTAAAACCATGGTGATGGAAGGCTTACTGACTATTAATATACTTTATTTAGGGTTTGTTGTTTAATGTCTCATCAGATTATTATCTTTGCTAGAATGACATTGTTTGGCATGTTATTCACATTAAACCTTAGCAGGCATTCTAAACAAATATTAAACGTGCCGGTACATGGCCCCACAAAAACCGATCTCCTCGAGCCTAAAGGAATCGGTGGGTCACCTAGGGGTCCTGTAATAAACATCTTGAGTCTCCAGTATGGTTGCCTCGTCCTTTGCTCTGACTCCAAGTAATTACAAAAATCATCATCTAAATTTACAATAAAATTAATTACACTAATTTTACATCAACAAATTTAGAACCCTCGATTTACATTCGAGGCGAATGAGATGAGAAAAGAATGTACATCAAGAAGAGGGAGAAGGCAAGACAAGCAACCCTATTTAAAATATTACAGCCACATACATACCCAAAATAATTTAAAACATTCACACCTTAGGTCTAAGGCTCATGTACCGGGCACATGCATTACAAACAAGTACAAAGCATACATTACAAAAAAATAATCAATTTTTGAATTGGGTGGGTTTATTAATTAATTACCCTCTTAATGTGCAGAATGTACATTGGCTTTACAGGTTATTAAAAACTGCAGATTAGACCCTTTGCAAAATACATATTTGGGAAAGCTCTAGCTTCGCCACGGCGAAACTTTCCAGAGGCAACTCGCCCCATAGACTTCGCCGCGGCGAAACTTCTTAGAGGCCCACCTCGCCGCAGCGAGACCTGGAAATCCCCAATTCGTACAGTTCGCGTTTTTTGCAGTTTTTGTGTATAAACTCGATCCAAATAAATCAAACGCACATACGTTCAACTAGGATATTAACCAACCAATTGTCATTCATCAACACATTATTAAACCAGTTTATCTTTGAATCGTTCACCATAACAGTTTTGCAGATTTTTCAAAAACAACATGTTATCAATCGAATACATGCTATAATCATACAATAAACTGTAAATTTAGTACCCTAGGCTCTGATACCACTATTAGTAAACGATCCTGTATACGCAGCGGGAAACAATAAAATAAAATACGGATCGTTACATGAGCCAAAGTCAAGGGTATAATTTTACAATTCATTAAAGCAAGAATCTGCAGAAATTAATAATCTGTGTTTAGAAACCATACGCACATTTGGAGGCTTCACCACGATTGTCTTTGAACGTTTTGCTACCAGATCCAAGTGTAGACGACTCTGCGTAGTCCACTACGAAGACATCTCAAAAGAACCAAAGAGGGATTTTGCAGATCCTCTTTGGCTTCAAGATTAAGAAAACAAATCAATTGAAATTGATTTAGGCTAAGAGTTGTTTCTCGCCGGGGAGTGAAAAGAAGGGCTGTTGTGTTGTGTTTTTTTCAAGGAAAAATAGATTCTATTTATTAATTACACACACACTTTTTCTTTTATAGTAAAATACAAGTTGCCCTAATATCCCATACGGAATAGGCTTGGGCTCCAACCAAACGCCCCATGTTCCAAACACTCCTCCCAATTTGATTTATTTTTATTTTCCATCATTATCTCATTAAAATCAATTAATATATATTTAATATATATATTAACTTTAACAATAATGATAATATATTTATATGTGCGAACACACACATTTAAAACGTAATTTTCACTTATTTAATTTTTTCTAACAAATTAAATAAGGCTAACGACCCTCAGCAAATTTAATTGCACTGTGAATTACCAAAATACCTTTTCATCTTAAAGACGAAAACGCCCTTCTTTCTTCTTGATCTTAAATTTCTTCTATGTGTGTGACCCATAGGCTTCTCATCAATCGGCAGTGTATGTAATCGCGATTACCCATTAATCGCCTCACTAAACACAGACCAAGATTGGCCTCTAGTAAGCCTCATGGCCACACCGATGATTCCGATTTTAGCAAAAGTACTACCTGCAACGTATGGTACTGCATATTCGATCCTTCTCTTCATCATCACGTTATCTCGACAGAGCGAAGGCATAGAAATAGTGTCAACCTTCGGTTACTCTCTAGATATTATTTATTCAGTTTCTGACCAATGACCCATATTATAACTCTGGATAGAGCAACAACTCATCCCCTGTGGCCACAATTATGTCATTGCCATATACCGAATTGTGCCGTGAGATAAACTTTCTCCCTACTCGGGATTGAATAATCCTCTGTCCAATCCACCAATAGTCTGATAACACTCCTTGATGCAGAGCCATCACCACCCGTATTGACAGCTCTAAAAAGAATTATGTTAGGTCTAGTGTCAAACTAACACCAATCGGTGCACAAGGCGCTCACAGGTGAATCTCAAGTTAAGTCACTCACAACACCATGGCAACAACTCCGTTAAGGATTTGTTCCATAGACACTGGGGTTACCTCCATATGATCCTCTTGGTGGGTCAGTGTCCAATGAACTTGTTGCGGTTGTAATCGCCTACAGCAAGCACCCATGTGTGTTGCACCACGGTCCTTCACCAACACCTTGACAAGTGAGATCAGCACTGTCTTTCGACAGGGTCGTTCACACTCTATGATAGCCTTACCGTATAATCTGTTGCCCTTACTTTTTCTTCGAATAATACTGGGAATCTTACGAGCTTTTCCTAGCTCTACTGGGGCCTTGGATATACAAAATAAAAGAAAACTGGGGCTAAAAAAAAGGGGCTAACCGCGTTTCTTTTCTTTTCATAATGGATGGGTGGAATGTTGGGCCCCTATATAATGTGCTCATAGGGTTCTCACTATCTAGATTTGAAACACTTGATACCCTCGTCACGGTTCTACCATTCTAAGGACATATATCAATACATATTGCAATAATAATGATTTACGTGATATAGAATAAAATGCCTTTTATTGATTAATGAACATTATTACAAAGAGTCAATTCTACAATAATTGATTGGCTCTAGGGCATCTACTCTAACACTGGGTTCATTGTCTTGGTAGACCAATACGTCACCATGTTGAGTCACAAGATAATCGTATCTTTTGGGCTCACGACGTACTCTCCCAGATCTATATAGCTCCTATGCTACCTTAGGTGGTTCACTTTAATCCACAAATTGTTGAGTAACCTCCTTATGATGTTCAACCACCTCTTGTGGCACATCATCCCGTCCTTCATCTAATGTATCTGTAAGTAATTGATCTACCTATGCAGCGGAAAACAAAAACTCAATCGGTAAATCAATTACCTTTCTTTGCCTAGATCCGAGTATATATTATACTGTTTACATGTTTATAAACAAAATCTGTATAAAGTAAATCCATTCAAGGATTAGAATACTTACGTACGTTTGGAGGCTCCTTCGAATATCTCTGATTCCGGATAGGAACACTGTTCATGGTTACTATTCACCGCCTACTGTTCACATGATATTTTGCCAATTGATCCAAAGTAGGATCGCACTCACGAAAGTCCACACGAAGATAATCGGCAGAACCTTTGATTATTTTGCTAGAACAATCAAGGGCTTCAAGAATCAAGAAAGAAGAACAAGAAAAGTTTTCTTCTTGAGAGAGAGAGAGAGAGATAGGGTGGCTAGGGTTTTAATTGAATGAATAATTCTTTTCATGTTTTAATTTTAAGTTGTACTTATATAGTGCAACAATTAAAACCCTATTCCACTTAGGAATAGCCATGGGCTTCAACCCTAGTTCACCCTTGCAACCAAACACACCCTTTATGGTATTTTAATTAATTAATTATTAGTATAATTAAAATCAGTTAACATATTAATATTTAATTAATAATAATAATTCATTTAAATATATATAGAGATATATTTAAATATAATCTCACTAATTTAATTTTAATATTAAAATTAAATACAGGCAATAACCTCAACAAATTTAATTGCACTGTGAGATTACAAAAATACTCTTTCGTCCTAAAAGAAGAAAATACCCTTAATACCCTCGTCACGGTTCTACCATTCTAAGGACATATATCAATACATACAGATATGATTTACATGATATAAAATAAAATGTCTTTTATTGATCAATGAACATTATTACAAAGAGTCAATTTTACAATAATTAATTGGCTCTAGAGCACCTACTCTAACAATAACAACATACCTATGTGGGTAATGGGAATGGACTTACCACAGTAAAGTTGATGATGAAACTACCTGGATCTTTCAATTTCGGTGGCAGATTCCTTTGAAGCAAAACACTTACCTTTTCAGGAACCATTACTTTTTCATTAGGTTCAAACTTACGCTTGTGAGTAATCAAATCGTTTAAGAACTTTGTGTAAGCTGGCATAGTCCTTATCACATCAAGCAAGGGTAAGTTCACATTAACTTTAGATAAAATATCATAAATTTTAGAGAATGACTTATCCCATTTGCTGTTCTTCAATCGGCTCGGAAAAGGAATAGGTGGAACATAAGGCTTTGGTGGAGCAACGATGGAATTGATCTCCTCATTCTAAATGGATACACGTGATTACTTCTGCTTCACTTTATCTTCCTCTACATGATCAATTGAAGGCCTATTAGATTCATAATTAATTTCATTTTGAATTACCTTACCACTTTGAAGCACTATGACTGCTTTCGCTTGCTCAAGTTGGCTTGGTAATTTCCCAGAAACATGACCTTGTACTGCCTCTGTTATTTGTCCTATCTGAACCTCTAGCTTTCTAATGGACGCCTTTTGCTGCTGAAACCTTTGTTCAAAATTTTGTTGGTTCTGCTGAGAAACTTGAATAAAATTATTCAGTGTCTCTTCCAATGAGGGATTTTGCGATTGATTATTAGAGCTCACTTGTTGTTGATTGTTTCTCCAAGAAAAATTGGGATGATTCCTCCACCCTAGATTATAAGTATTCGGATAAGAATCATGAGGCCTTGGGTTGTAGGAATTCATCATACTGGCTTGCTTAACAAACTCTGGAAAATTTCCACGAGAAGGACAAACATTAGTTGCAGGACCAACAATACCACAACTAGCATATACCTCGTTGGAATTTCTTAGTCCTTGTCCCATCATCATGTTGCACATAGTTTTCATTTGCTTGGTCAATTCTGAAACCTGCATAGCCAACTTAGTGTTAGTATTTACTTCATACATCCCTCTTGATTTTCCTCTAACACTTTTCTGTTGTGAGTTGGCTCCAAGCATCTCATATAACTCATTCGTCTCTTGTACAATCTTTTCTCCCATAGCAGCATTATCAACCATGGCTTGACAAGCTTGTGTCAGTCCATCATAGAAAAATTGGTTCAGTAACTCTAAAGGATATCTATGATTTGGAGACTGAACTAAAAACAATTTAAAACGTTCCCAAGCTTCATGGAATGGCTCACCTTCCATTTGTGAGAAAGTAGCAATCTTACCTCTAAATTCTGCAGTTTTGGCATGAGAATAGAATTTACCGATGAACTTATTATAAACTGCATCCTAAGTGGTAAGTGAAGCGAGAGTTAATGACATGAACCATGTTTTAGCCGCATCCTTCAATGTGTAACGAAAAAAATGCATCCACAACTGATCATCTGTCAAACTCTGCAAAGGAAAAGTTTGAATAGTAGAATAAAAATCATGAATAAAGGTAAGTGGGTCCTCTGTGGCTATGCCATGGAATGATGGTAACATCTGAAAGTGAATGTGCTTCAGTTCGTAATTCCTTATTGCCTCATTCAACACTATGCAAGATGGCGGCGTTTCTATGGTAGCACGTGCATACTCCTTCATAGGACGAGGTAATTTAGCCATTATCTCTGGTTCTGAACTTGAATCTGACAAATCTGAATCTGATAAATTTTCAAGAAGTTCTGGTTCTTTCCTCTTTCTATCGATCAAATCCATTCTATCCACGTAAGGTACTAATTCTTTATTTAGTGATAGGCGACCTTGCATTAAAAAACAAACACACCAATGAAAACAAAAACAAAAGAGAAAAAAAAAACCCAAATAAAAATAATACAAATTAAATTAAATAACAATAATAACAATAATTAAAGCACACGTTACCAAGAAAACTAAATAACTTAAAACAAATCCTCGGCAACGGCACCAAAAACTTGATGAACAAATTATAATTCTCGTAGTCTAGTGTGCAAAAGCAAGGGTCGATCCCACAAAGATTTGTAAGCAATTTACTAATCCTAATAACTATGCTTCAATTTAAACTAATAACTAGAATTAATAATGAAGAATTAAGGAAGATCACTTTAAAACCAGCAACTGAATAAAACTAAAATTAAACAGCTATTGAAATTATCTATAATTGACCAAAACCTAGGGCTCCAATTTCACCATAATTATCTAGCTCTATGTCAAACATCTCTCTATTGTTTATCAATTCAATCTCTAGGGTTCGCATTCACGAAATCAAGGTATTATCACAAGGCGTTCAGGATTAACCTAGTATTTTTAACACAAGACTAGCTAGGGCGTATAGTCTAACCTATGAATTAAAAACCCATTAAACATAGGAATACTCGAAATTAAGAACAAAGGCGTATCTGTCAGGGCGTATGCACCTACACTAATTATTCAAGAAATCATGAACCAACTAATATTTTGTCACGGCGTATACACAAAATACTGATCATTCATTCAATAATCTCAACACAAACAACCTACTAATTCACACTAAGTGTCGTCACACAATAATGAAAATTAAAGGTAGAATAAATACATGAATGAATCCAGATTTTAATCGAATTGATAACAATAAATATATGTTTAAACATAGAGCCTTCTAATTAGGCTACATTAGATCCCTAAATAAGAGTTTAGTTACACTTTGACATTAAAGAGAGCAAACATGAAATTCCCCCAAAAGCATGAATAATCCAAACCCTAGGAAGAATCTCCTTCTCTTTCTTGATAAAAAAAGCAACTCTCAATTTAGGTCAAAGAGTCCCTAAAGTAAATTATAAAGTCCTATTTATACTTTTCCTTTACTAGGGGTGTTTTTGGGAGAGTCCAAGTTCAAGTTGGAGTTGGAAAAGGTAAGATTTTTATTTTTCTCGTGATCCACGCCACGGCGTGATTTTCTGGCATGCAAACATAAAACTTTGTCACGCTGCAGCATGAACTTTTTTGTCCAAATTCAGCTTTGCGTGCCGCGGCACAGAAAAACCATGTCATGGCGCATAAAAACCATGTTGCAGCACCATCCAACAATTTCTCATTCTTTCTTTTGCTTGACGATCCGACTTTTGCATGTACAAAGCCTCCAACCACTGTATGAGCATAAATTCATCACTTTTTCCACCTAAAAACTTGAAACTCATACACATACCCGTGATTCTGGAAAATAGAAATATACAAAGAAACTTGCATAAAAATAATCCATGAAAGTCACGAATTCCCTAAAATCTACTCATAAAATCATGGAATATATATATCATTTCATCACTCATCAGACACCCTTGTCCACTCACTCATCAACAAAATGGGAGAGTAGAGAGAAAACATAGACAACTAGTTGAACAAGGATTACCTCTTCTTGCCCAAGCTAGCATGCCATTAAAATTTTGGTGGTATGCATTCCAAACAGCTGCCTATCTCACAAACAACTTCCCACACCTGTTTTGGACAATTTTTCACCTTTTCAAAAATTATTCCATACTACCCCTAACTATTCTGCCATAGGAGTGTTTGGTTGTGATGTTTACCCCTTTATTAGACCCTATAACGCTCACAAATTTAATTTCCATACTACTAAGTGTACTCTTATTAGTTATAGTCTATATCATAACGGGTATAAGTGCTTAGCTCCTTATGGCAGAATTTACATTTGCCAAAGTGTTAAGTTTGATGAGTCAGACTTTCCATTCCAAAATTCTGCCACTTCAGCTCCAGTTTCATCTATTCCACCATTCAATTTTGAGACACATTTACCTTCCCCTACTATTTCGACCTGGCATGTACCTACTACTGTGCTTGATTCCTCTCCCATGTTATCTACAAACTCTAACTGTCCTCCTACACATGATCATTTGAACACATTAACCAAGACACATTTCACTCCAATTCTGTCTCAGTCAAGTCTAATTCAGCATTCTATAACCTCTAAGTCTAATGATTCTCAAGTCACTAAAAATGTTAAACTATCTCCTGTGTCCACGGCCTCTAAAATTGAAGAGTCCTTACTGTCACCTGTTACCATCCCTTCTAATAACTCCTTTGACACTATACCACTTATAGTGACCTTACCTTTAGCAGCATCTTTACCTTTTGAAACAAATACCCATCCTATGATAACTAGAGCAAAGGCCAAAGCCCATAATACTGCCCTATTGACATCCTCATCTTTAGATACCAACGAACCAGTCACTGTGTCAGAAGCACTCTCCCATCCATCTTGGAAAGCTACTGTGCAGGTTGAGTATGATGCCTTGTTGTCTAACCAAACCTGGGAGCTTGTTCCAACCACCTCTGAGATGTATCCAGTAGGTTGCAAATGGGTTTTTAAGATTAAAACTAATCCNTAGGCACGGACTTTTGACGTTCAGCCTGTTCCATGAATTCATCCACCAGATTTTCTTCGTAAGTCCACGTTGATGGACTTCTGTCAAGCTCTGAATGAACTTTGCAATGGTATCTTACAGGCCCTGTAACTCTTCCCGTATGAAAAGTTATGGCCATCTGAATGACACATGCTCATTTATGCATGGAGTTCTGACGTTCAGCCTAGTCCATGAATTCATATGCCCGACATTCTACATTAGTCCACATTGACGGGCACTGAATTAGATTTTCTATGGTGTCTTTAAGGCCCTGTAACTCTTCCCAGATGAAAAGTTATGGTTGTTTGAATGGTACATGCTCATTTAAGCAGTTTGGGCTTTACGCTTGGACGTTTGACTTTTAGACCGCTCCATGAATCCATCTGCCAGATTTTCTATGTTAGTCCTCATTGATGGACTTATGACAGGCTCTGAATGAGCTTTCTAATGGTTTCTTATAGGCCTCATAAGTCTTCCTTGATGAAAAGTTATGGCCGTCTGAATGGGATATGCTCATTTAAAACCTTTGGGCTTTACGCACGGACTTCTAACATTCAACCCGCTCCATGAATTCGTCTGCCAGACGTTCTACATAAGTCCAGATAGACAGACTTCTGATGGGCTTTGAATGAGCTTTCCAACGTTATCATACATGCCCCGTAACTATTTCTGAATGAAAAGTTACGGCCGTCTGATTGGGGCATGCTCATTAAAGCCCTTTGGGCTTTACGCATGGAGTTCTGACGTTCAGCCCCTTCTATGAATCCATCCATCAGAAAATCTACATTTGTCCACGTTGACGACCACTAAATGAGATTTCCAACGGTATGTTATAGGCCCCGTAACTCTTCTCGGATGAAAAGTTATGGTAGTTTGAATGGGACATGCTTATTTAAGCCGTTTGGGCTTTATGCTCAGACTTTTGACGTTTAGCCCGCTCCATGAATTCGTCCATCAGATTTTCAATGTTGGTCCTCATTGACGGACTTCTGACAGGCTTTGAATGAGCTTTCCAATGGTTTCTTGTAGGCCTCATAACTCTTCCTAGATGAAAAGTTATGACCGTCTCAATGGGACATACTCATTTACAACCTTTAGGCTTTAAGCACAGAGTTCTTAAGTTCAACCCACTCCATGAATTCAGCTATCATACATTCTACAATAGTCCATATCGATGGGCTCTCAATGATCCAACGGTATCTTACAAGCCCCGTAACTCTTCTTAGATAAAAAGTTATGGCCGTCTGAATGAGACATACTCATTTAGGCCCTTTGGGCTTTACACATGGAGTTCTAATGTTCAGCCCACTCCATGAAATCATCTGCCAGATATTCTATGTTAGTCCACATTGATACACCTTTGACGGGCTTTGAATGAGCTTTTGACCGGTATCTTACAGGCTCCGTAACTCTTCCCACATGAAAAGTTATGGTCGTCTGAATGTGGCATGCTCATTTAAGCCCTTTGGGCTTTACGCACGAAGTTCTGACGTTCAGCCCACTCCATGAATTCATCCGCCAGACATTCTAAGTTAATCCACATAGATAGACATTTGATGGGCTCTGAATGAGCTTTCCAACGGTATCTTACGGACCCCGTAACGCTTCCCAGATAAAAAGTTATGGCCGTCTGAAAAGGACATGCTCATTTAAGCCCTTTCGCCTTTATGCATAGAGTTCTGACGTACACCCGCTCCATGAATTCATCTGCCGACTTTCTACATTAGCCCATATCATCGGGCATCAGAATGGGCTTTCCAAGGGTATCGTACAGGCCTCGTAACTCTTCCCGGATGAAAAGTTATGGCCGTCTAAATGGGGCATGCTCATTTAAACCCTTTGGGATTTACG